ATTCAGGATTCTGGATTTGGGGTTTGAGGTTTGGAATCTGGGATTTGGGATCCAGGATTCAGGATTTGGGATCCAGGATTCAGGATTCGGGATTTGGGGTTTGGGATTTGGGGATTCGGGGATTCAGGATTCAGGATCTGGGATTTGGGATCTGGGGTTTGGGATTCAGGATCGGGGATTCAGGGTTTGGGGCTCGGGGTTCAGGATTTGGGATCGGGGATTCGGGATTCAGGATTCAGGATCTGGGTTTTGGGGTCTGGGATCTGGGATTTGGGGTTTGGAGTTTGGGATCGGGGATTCGGGATTTGGGATCTGGGATTCGGGATCTGGGATTTGGGGTTTGGGGTTTGGAATTCAGGATTCGGGATTCGGGATCCGGGATTTGTGGTTTGGGATCCGGGATCTGGGGTTCGGGATGATTTTGGGAGGGGATTTTGGGATGTGCTGGGGGTCCCGGTCGGTCCGGCGGCGCCGCTCCCGCTGCGCGGGGCCGGGAAGGGCGTTCGGGATCAGCCGCGGATTGGAGCGGCCGCCCGGGATTCCCAAAATCCCCAAATCCCCTTAATCCCGGGAGAGGGGGGCGGGGCAGGCGCCAGCTGCTGCTGCTGCTGCTGCGGCTGGCCTCCTTAGCCACGGCCCCAAATCCCGGGAAACGGCCCCAAAATCCCGGGAAACGGCCCCAAAATCCCGGGTATCAGCCCCAAAATCCCGGGATACGGCCCTAAAATCCCAGGATTTGGCCCCAAAATCCCCAGATTCGGCCCCAAAATCCTGGGATCTGGTCCCAAAATCCCGGGATTCGGCCCCAAAATCCAGGATCCAGCCCCCAAATCCTGGGATCTGGCCACAAAATCCCGGGAAACGGCCCCAAAATCCTGGCATTCAGCCCCAAAGTCCTGGGAAACGGCCCCAAAATACCGGGATTCAGCCCCAAAATCCCAGGATCTGGACCCAAAATCCTGGGATCTGGCCCTAAAATCCCGGGATACATTCCCAAAACCCTGGGATCTGGCCCCCAAAATCCCCAAATATGGCCTCAAAATCCCGGGTTTCAGCCCCAAAATCCCGGGAAACGGCCCCAAAATCCTGGAATTCAGCCCCAAAATCATGGGAAACGGCCCCAAATTCCCGGGAAACGGCCCCAAAATCCCAGGAAACGGCCCCAAAATCCCGGGAAACGGCCCCAAAATCCTGGAATTCAGCCCTAAAATCCTGGGATTTGGCCACAAAATCCTGGGATACAGTCCCAAAATCCTGGGATCTGCCCCCAAAATCCCAGGAATTGGCCCCAAAATCCCAGGATCTGGCACCAAAATCCCAGAATCTGGCCCCAAAATCCTGGGATACGACCCCAGAATCCTGGGATCTGGCCCCAGAATCGTGGGATATGGTCCCAAAATCCCAGGAAACGGCCCCAAAATCCAGGATCCAGTCCCGAAATCCCAGGATCAGGTCCCAAAATCCCAGGAAACGGCCCCAAAATCCCACGATACATTCCCAAAATCCTGGGATCTGTCCCCAAAATCCCCAAATATGGCCTCAAAATCCCAGGTTTCAGCCCCAAAATCCCGGGATACGGCCCCAAAATCCCAGGAATTGGCCCCAAAATCCCAGGATCTGGCCCCAAAATCCTGGGATACGACCCCAAAATCCTGGGATCTGGCCCCAAAATCCCGGGATCCAGCCCCAAAATCCTGGGATTTGGCCCCAAAATCCTGGGATCTGCCCCCAAAATCCCCAAATATGGCCCCAAAATCTCAGGATCTGCCCCCAAAATCCCAGGAATTGGCCCCAAAATCCCGGGTTTCAGCCCCAAAATCCCAAAATTCAGTCCCAAAATCCTGGGATTTTCCATGGGGAATTTCCTGCCCCGCAAATAACCCCAAAATCCTGCAGAAAAACCCCAAATCCCATTAAAAAAACACCAAAATCCCATAAAAACAATCCCAAATCCCACAAAAAAACCCCAAATCCTGGGATTTTCCATGGGAAACTTCCTGCTCCACAAAAAAAAATCCCAAAATCCCAGAAAAAAATCCTAAAAAAACCCCAAAATCCCACCAAAAATTCCCAAAATCCCATAAAAAAATTCCCTAAATCCTTCAAAAAAACCCCAAATCCCAGAATTTTCCCTGGGAATTTTCCCGTTTCCCAAATCCCACAAAATTCCCCCAAATTCCCGAGGATTTTTCCCTGGGGCTGTTCCCAAAAAAAACCCCAAAATCCCACAAAAAAAGAAAACCCCAAAATCCCAAAAACCTCTTTAAAATCCTCAAATAATCCCAAAATCCCGTCCAAAAAAAATTCCCAAAATTCCGTAAAAAACGGGGAGGAATTGAAGGGAGGTGCTGGAATTTTTATGGGATCAAAGAAATTTTGGGATTCCCGGATCCCAAACCCATCCCATCCCAGGAATTTTGGGATTCCCGGATCCCAAACCCATCCCATCCCAGGAATTTTGGGATTTCAGGATCCCAAACCTTTCCCATTCCCCAAATTTTGGGATTCCTGGATCCCGAATCTTTGCCACCCCTCAAATTCCAGGAATCCCAAACCTTTCCCATCTCGTAAATTTGGGATTCTGGGATTCCCAAACCTTTTCCCATCCCATAAATTTTAGGATTCCCACATCCCAAATTTTTCCCACCCCACAGAATTTGGGATTTCGGCTCCCAAATCTTTCCCACCCCAGAAATTTTGGGAATTCGGGAATCCCAAACCTTTCCCATTCCCCAAATTTTGGGATTCCCAAACCTTTCCCATCCCAGAGATTTTGGGATTTCAGGATCCAAAACCCATCCCATCCCACAAACCTGGGATTTCCACATCCCAAACTTTTCCCATTCCCCAAATTTCGGGAATGCCAAACCTTTCCCATCCTGAGGAATTTTGGGATTTCAGGATCCCAAATCATTCCCACCCCCCCCAAATTTTGGGATTCCTGGATCCCAAACTGATCCCATCACAGAAATTTTGGGATTCCTGGAATCCCAAACTTTTCCCACCCCTCAAATTTTGGGATTTCAGGATTCCCACCCCATAAATTTTGGAATTCTGGGATTCCCAGTCCTTCCCACCCCCTCAAATTTTGGGATTCCCGCATCCCAAACCTTTCCCAACCCTCAAATTTTGGGATTCCCGCATCCCAAACCTTCCCCACCCCCCATAAATTTGGGATTTCAGGATTCCCATTCCCCGAATTTTGGAATTCCCGCATCCCAAACCTTTCCCCACCCTCCGAATTTTGGGATTTCAGGATCCCAGC